TGTGGAATAAAGTCGTTATTTTTGTTTTCTTTGCGCAAAAAAGTATTCTCGTAGCTTCGTAACTTTACAGTTGAACCACTGATGTCACACGGACTACTTTGTCGATCATCTTGGTACTTTTCTGGACCTTGAACGTGGTAGTTACCTAGCTGCCTATGGGAGGGTCAAAGAGCCCTCAGATTTCATCAAACATATCTTAAATTGTGTTGCGAAGATGAACGAAGGTCTTAAGGGTTTCGAACAACACGAGGGTGAGTAATTAATGACAGAATTTTCATTTTTAGGTGAACTAACCCTTTAAGCACAATACATTTTATAAACATACCAAGACCGCATCATAGGCGCCAGGTTCACTGGTGAGGAAGGCAAACATGATACACAGGTACGGCTTCTTCAGCTCGAGTCTGAGAGAGCTGCACATCTCTCTCCACAGGGAGTTTTTCTCATCAGTGTAGCCCGACAGAGGAGTGCAAACAAAACACAATGCAAAGACAAAAGCCTTATGGCAGTAGGTGTAGAAAACACCCACACCCCTTGTAAAGATTAGATCTTTTTCCCAAAGCCAAAACAAATTATGCTTTAAGCCCAAACAACGGGCAATTATGAATAATAAACATACAGCCCCATATGCCGTATGCATCTGCGGCTTTAGGGCTTTTAATATTAAACGGCTGTCATTGTGTAACGTAAGCCATGCTTTTGTCATTTTGTCAGTATATAAAGGACAATTTTGATTGCAAACAGGCAGCCGATGGCGTGTTTCTGTCTTGCCTGGATTTCACACAGTCCTTCTAACATTCATCCAAATGTACAGATAGGACAGGACTTCCTGTAAATCCCTTAGGGGAACATGAACATCTATCTCTCTACATAAACAAGTTATTCAAAATTGTTCAGATGTCATCTCCAATTTATATGACTCCCTAACAGAGATAAATTCTATATCATTATCAGCCAATAGAGGCATTTTTATACAGATATCAGGGCTTATTTTCTCCAATTCATACCTTGTACACTCATTATGTATCTAGTTATGCATCTTTTACTGTGCATTATATTTTGATGTCAAATTACAGACTGGAGTTTTAGTGTGAACACTAGTAAAAACAGTAGAAAAATAGCACATTTATAAAATTGGTCATCACATTATAAAAAGAAAGTATGGCATCTGTTAAAAAAAATTTTTTCTAAGATTTCTACCCAAATTAAGAAAAGAAAAAGGGAAATTTACATTTAAAAAAAAAACAACCTCATGTCATTTTCATTTAAAGTTGAATTACAAAAAAAAAAAAAACTAATATATAAAAATGAATAAACACTATATGGACATGTTTAAAAAAATTATAATAATGAAAATTATTAAAACTTTTACTAAAATTAAAGTGAAAAACATAAAAATAAACGCAAAATATTAATAAAAACTAGAATAGTATATTTATGATATTTAAGTAACACTGAGATGTTCTCTCTCTCTCTCTCTAATATATATATATATACTGTATAGACAGTACAGTACAATAATAAGAACTATGGAGGAAAATGCTTACTTGATATGAAAATAACATCACTGTGCAAAAAAATCTTTAAAATATGCTTAATTTTTGCTGCAAAATATAATTCCTTTTTTTCCCTTTAGATTTTGGGGTAAGAAAAGACAAGGGCCGGTTCTTGGCACGTTTTGTGAGATTGTGAGTTTTATAGTCACTGTCACTGGCAGCCCAATGTTCCTCCAGTCCAGTCACGTACCTTTCTCTGCTGAAGCTCCTTTGTTAAGAATCTGAATGGCTCGACGGATGTCCAGGTTAAAGAGAGCGACAGCAGCTGCTCTCTCCCACTCGCCCTCCTGCTCCAGAGACTTCAGGAAGGGCTCCACATCGATGTCGGGCCCTCGACCGATCCAGCCACACAGCTGCAGGGCCAGACTGCGCTCCTCGCTGTGGTACCGCGGTACATCGGTCTGCCTGTCTGAACCCGACCAGCAGCGCCGTGTCTCTGTAGTGCCTGAGAGAATGAGATTTCTTGAGAGGGCCTCCAGTGACAGATACCATGAGGCTTTTAGCAGATGTCTATGAGAAATACTTCTACTGTACAGAGCAATAATACACAATAATGTTCACAGAAAATGTGATCGGATATTGTGCCGTTCGCACTTACCAGAGCTGGACTTGACGATGTTTTTGATGCCTGAGTAGATGAGCGACTGTTTATTGCTCTGTTGCTTCTGCTCCACATTTTCAGTGTACTGCTTCATAAGTAAAACTTACATAGGAAATATAGAGATATCAAATAGAACAACACCATATAGACAAGAATATGACAATAAAAAAATGAACCAATCAATCCATGGATTTACAAATAATAAATTCATAAGAATCATGAACATTTCTCAAAAGAATTTCATGTTAATTCTGTTGTTAAAATTGATTTCTTGATGTTTAACAATGTCCAGTTTCAAGTGAAATTACAGTATATACAGTGGGTACGGAAAGTATTCAGACCCCCTTACATTTTTCACTCTTTGTTATATTGCAGCCATTATTATATATATAATTAATAATGTAATATATTTTATTTATGTGTTATATTATTATATGAGTCAAGTAAATAGCAAAACATCCTGAAACAACGAGAAATAGTTTGTTTTTTAGGTAAACATTCAACAATAACTTTGACATATGCTTTGAAAGGTTCAATCGTCTCCTGTAATGCTGCAGCGCTGCAGTGAAGGATATAATGGAGCGTGTACCAGAGCGACCTCAGCTGCGGGTCGTCTCCTCCGGCCAGCACGTGGTTCCTCCACACCTGCACAGTGTCGTGGCCGTAACGCGACTGCGCTCGCTCCCTCATCTTAGTGGCGATGTCCTTCTCAGCAGCGACCGCCCCCTGACCGGCGTCCTCCGCGCACTCGTACAGGTGCCGCCCGCACGCCCACATCAACGCTGTGGTGGAGCTCCAGGCCAGTGATATGCGCTCGAAGACGGTGAAGTCGTTCATGACCCGGTTGGGCGACACCACCACCATGCGGTTCTGGGTGGACGGATGCCAGGCGAAGCTGCTGATGATGCTCTCGCTGCAGGGCTGGACGCTGCGCTCGATGATGGTGGGTTCAACCTCGTCGCCGAACGGCATGGGCGTGTGCTGCATGTCGTACAGCCGTATGATGTTGCTGTCCCGCGTGAGCGTGGCCAGCAGGCCCATGCGTGTGGGACACCATGCCACTTTAGTCAAAGGCTTGGGCTGCTCGGTCAAAGTAAAGACAGGCTTTTCGAATTTCCGCAAATCCCAGATGGCCACCTGGCCTTCGAAGAAGGACGCAACGCGATCCTGAAAGTGAGGATCCACCGTTACACCCTGGATGGCTTTGGTGTTCACAAACGTCTTCTGGCTGGTGTTGCGGAGGTCAAAGATGGCCAGATTTCGATGCATCCCAGCCAGGAGTAACTTTTGATGGTCACGAGGGAGCCAACAAAGAGAAAGACATGCATCGTTCTGACCGAGCTCATACAGCGGTTTGGTCACCACCAACCCCGAGTCCACGTCTCCAGACAGACGAACCTTCTCAGCTGGAACCGCTTCAGGAGAAAATTTACTACTTATGTCCCAGATGAGAACGGAAAAATCAGCCCGATGTTTGTCCAAACCAGCCGCCAGCCAGTTACTGTCCACCGGGTTCCACGCGAGTGTATTGCATTGTCGGGCGTGCTTGGGTACAAACTCTTTACCCACCAGCTCCTTACATTTGGAGTTATGGCTCTGTCCCAGACTGGTCAGGACGACTCGGCCGTTGGCCTGTCCCACAGCCAGCAAACACTCCGGCTCATGTTTGGGATACCAGGCCACACATTTCATATACGGGGTGTCAGAGTTGATGGCCAGCAGCGTAGCCGCGGTCTCCTCGGATAGCGGAAGGGCGCCGGCTTTGGTTTCGGAGCTTCCTGCAGGTCCGATCCGATACAGACTGAGTTCAGTGTCGCAGATCACATAGCGGTCTGCGTGATGGGGAGACCACAGGATATCTGGCTTATAGCCGCTCGACATGGCAGGACAGTGGTTTCTTCAGTGCAGATACCTGTGAATGATAAAGAATCTTATTTATAAAGCACTTATACATCACACCTATCAGCAATACTTGGATTAATTCATATATTTATAGACATATTGCATATTATCGTCTCCTCCGGCCAGCACGTGGTTCCTCCACACCTGGACGGTGTCGTGGCCGTAATGCGACTGCGCTCGCTCCCTCATCTTAGTGGCGATGTCCTTTTCAGCAGCGGCCACCCCCTGACCGGCGTCCTCCGTGCACTCGTACAGGTGCCGCCCGCACGCCCACATCAGCGCCGTGGTGGAGCTCCAGGCCAGCGATATGCGCTCGAAGACCGTGAAGTCGTTCATGACCCGGTTGGGCGACACCACCACCATGCGGTTCTGGGCGATTTTTTTTGCACCCTCAGATTCCAGATTTTCAAATAGTTGTATCTCGGCCAAATATTGTCCGATCTTAACAAACCATACATCAATGGAAATGTATTCAGCTTTCAGATGATGTATAAATCTCAATTTCAAAAAATGGACCCTTATGATTGGTTTTGTGGTCCAGGGTCACATATATAGGTGTGCATATTCTATATCATAATATAATAATATAATCTACATAATATAATGATATTATTAATACAAAATGTCATTGTTATGTAATAAAAAGTCATAGAATAAAATAAAGCATATATTATTATTAATAATAATAATGAAAGAATTATTATTTTTATTTTCATTTATTATATGACTTTTGATAATAAATAAGATTTAATAAAAATAATACTATAATAACAATGTTGTACATTTAATTTGGTTATTCATTTTATTATTGTTATTATTTGTGTAATGGTTATATATATATATATATATATACATATTTATACATATATACACACACACACACACAAATATTTTTTTTCCCTTTATGATTTCATAACTCATACATCAAAGGGTTAAAACAAACAACATTAAAGTTGCACACGAAATTAAAGGTAATGAAGACATTAGCAAAGTTAAACCAAAGCTAAGAGAAAATCCAGGTTGATTGTTAAAGCCATAATGTGTTTAATGTGTTGAAATAAACAGTAAATAAATAAGTAATAAAATCATTAATAAGATCCATTCTACGCCTCATGATTCTATCGCCCCGTGTTAAGAAGTAAATATTAAATAACTGAAGAGAAAAATAAAACGGTCTTTTTGCTAAAGAAGTAAAGAGTGCAAATGCGATTTAATGTTCTTATGACTTGATTTTAATAAGTGAGTAAACTTAGCCGGTCAGCTATAGCTAAACTAACCTTAACTAAACTTAACCTTTTCTAAACCGGAAACAGGTAATGACAGACGCCAGTCACTATATGAATACACAGAATAAACCATGCTTTAAAATATAAATAGATGGCAGCTGTGCTCATGAGCGTTTGATAAATATAAACTCACATTTGACGTGCAAACATGCTGAAGTTTGTTTGGGTAGCGCGAAGTCGGAAGCAGTGCAGATTGTAAACACAACGTGACAGAAACACACAAAATAAAAGTCCCACTTCGTCTAATGAATATAACAGACATCGACGAGCAGAGAGGAACGAGGATTATATTCATACAGTAGGAGAACTAAACCTAATAACCTCTGTCTCAACAGTCAAGTCTTCCGGGTGAAAACATAAGATAAACAAATTAATCTATAAAAATCAAACGCGTGAAATACAGATATGGAAGCCCATTTGCGCCACATACACACACAAAATAATCCTCTGGTAAATTATGGCATAAAAAAATCAGATTTTATGAGATTACAAAGACAAAAATATGACAGAATAAGTCATAATTATGAGAAACGTCTAAATTATGAGATAAAAAGCCATTATGACATGAAAAGTAGAATTATGTCGTAACTTACTTATGTTCTAATCATAATTTTGATTTCCATGTCAATTTCGACTTTATCTCATGATTACGATTTAATTCCATATAGTTTTCACATTTTTATATCAAAATTATGAATTTTTGTCACAATTTTGACTTTTTATGTCACAGTTCTGACTTTCTATTTATGAATTAGTCTCATAATTTCAACTTTTTTTATCTGTTCTTATGTGGTGGAAACTCTACATTTTAATTTGAAAACTTCACTGCCCTCTACAGCTGAAAAAAAAAAGGTTTATTCATGCAAAGTTTAATGATAATGTTAATTTTATGTGAATCTCAAACATGTGGGGAGTCACAATAACAAACATAAACAGCTTATTTTGCATGAATGATAAGTGAAGGTTTTTTTACTGACTTCTTGATGCTCAAACTGTTTGTGTATTGTCTTCTCGTCCCAACAAGTCTCCTTGTTCTCTCATCTTTTATATACGAGAAGTCTTTCCATGCACATCACAAGAGAAGAGGTCCTGCAACACATGGTTGTTTAAAATAATAATAATAATAACTGTTTCTCAAAAAATAAATGCTAAAAGTTTGGAACAACATGAGGATGAGTAATTAATGAAATATTTTGGGTGAACTATCCCTTTAAAAGTCTTGGAACACTTCTGATGAGTCACATCTCAGGAGGTTCCTAGATATTTTCCAGATTTCAGGAGGGTGCCATTTATATGAATTGTACAGAAGCTTTTGGGGGAAATTTTATTGTCCTCCAAATAATCTCTCAGCATTCATCTCCAAAAGACATAAACATGAGAAAAGAGTAGATAGTTTACATTGCTTAACTCCTGTTTAACGCCACACTGAATTAACAAAATATCTAATAAAGCGTATTTATTATATTTTATACTATAATACAACAGGTATACTATAAATGCATTTCATTATATTAGTGTGAGCCTAATTATATAAATAAACTTTTTCCCCCCACAGTTATGGCTGTCTATAGAGAGAGAGAGTGAGTGTGTGTGTGTGTGTGTGTGAAGAGTAGAGAGTTTACATTGCTTAACTCCTGTTCAACGTCACACTGCATTACCAAAATACATAATAAAGTTGATTTATTATATTTTTATACTATAATACAACAGGTGTGTACTATAAATGTATTTCATTGTATTAGTGTGAGCCTGAAATTATGTAAATAAACTTTTTTTTTCTTCCAGAGTTATGGCTGTCCTGTGCTATACAGTGTGTGTGTGTGTGTGTGTGTGTGTGTGTGTGTGTGTTCAGTCAGGCATCAGATTGTTGGGTCTGTGATGTTGGGCTGATGTTCAGCGCAGGACTGAAGTCAGTCAGAACAGAACGTGCTCCATACAGGAGACATGAGCTTGTGGATGCTCCCTAGATTTGCATAACAGGCAAGGTAAGTGCTTTATCTTTTCTGCATATTATTGTTCTGATATTAGTTTCACTCATTCTGAGGAATTATAACCTGCATAAAATAACATTTCAGCATTATATGACAAAATTAAACATAGAACTGAACATTGCATCTGACATTATTATTGCATGATGTATATGTGGATTTTTGATCTGTAAATAACATGCATGTCATTGTTTAAAGTGTTTTGATGCACAAGTTCGGATTCATCACCTGATTTATTCAATTTTATTGCATTTGTTTAAAAATATCCAAGCGCCAGTTTGTGGAACTTCTAGCACTAAAAAGTGTGTATTCAAACGACAAGAAAATCAGCCACTTGTGTTGGTCTTTGTAATGCAGAATGTGCACCATGAACAGTTTTAAGATGCACAGAAGGTCTGAAAGTGTTTCTTTGATTGTCTTTAAGGTTAGACATGAATGAAAGCACGGCCAAAGGGTTTTCTCTGTGCCCGTTGCTTTGGCTGCTTGCACCTGCGACCAGATGCCAGAAGAGAAGACAGTCTGGAGAAAGACTGAACAACCTCACCACAAAACAGGACAATGGTAAATGCATCAGTGTTTCATTCGGTGTCAGAGTATCTTTTATTGTGTTGACTTAGTATTGCATGTACAAAAATTTAAGTTAGATATCTTTAATACCTCAATAGTTTCTCCTAGACAGCAATGAGATTAAATTAAATACTTTTCTCATGAAAAGTCCAAAAGTCAAGACAAACCAGATAAGCTACTAAACTTTTCACTCAAATTGTTATGCTGATAATATATTTTTTGATAAGCATTTTTTAGACTCAATTAGAAAAAAGGCTAAATAAAATAATTAACTTACTGGTCACAGACGATTGTACACTGTAAAAAATGATTGTGATTTTAACAGTAAAAGACTGTAAAAATGCTACAGTAAAAACCTGTTAACTGGTTAATAGTAAGTTTCCATACTATATTCGGTATGTGAATGACACTGTGCACCTTCTATATATAAGTATTGCCCTCCTCAGCTCGTAGAAATGCTGTTTGTGATGAGCTTTGGTTCATCATGTAACTTTCTCATCACCAACAGGTTTTGGTGGTTATCAGTGCATTACAATGGTTCAAAACAGATATTAGTACTTTAGTATTTTGGTTTATTAACATTACATCAGTTAATGAAATACAGTATTTTATTGTGAATTTAAGTTAAGTCTGTAAAACCTAAAATGTTGCTACCATATTTTTTACGGTGAAGTTCTGGCAACCACAGCTGCCGGTATTTTACCGTAAATGTCACAGATTTTTTTTTACAGTGTACCCCATCACTCTTAACCCTATAAAGCCTACTGTATCATATTTGATAAACACATTTTTAAGGCCTCTACATTATGAACATGATTAAAACTTTATTGAAAAAACTGTTGTACACAATCTACTACATGCCTCTGTCATTTGATTGATAGATTATACTTCTTTTAGCAAGTAAAAGACATTTTAGAATCATGTGAAAGCTATACTGATTTTTATAAAATAAAAGTAAAAATAACTTTTATATTGTAATATTTCAAGATGAACACTTACTGGACTGAAGAAACTTTACTTGATTATCCATCCATATATATATATACAGTATTTTTTTTTTTTTTTTTTACTTGTGTTAAAATATATCAAATATGATCCATGAGGCTTTTGAGGAACATTTTTGTACACCCTTACAAAAAGTAAGTATACTTCAAGTTAATTTTTTGAGTTGAATTACTGAAATAAATGAACTTTTCCACGACATTCTAATTTATTGAGATGCACCTGTACTTCCAGTAAAGTTCCAGTGTATTTTTAAGCAGACTTGTAGTAAGTATACTACTATCAATGTACTGGAAGTATACTCAAGTGTACTATATCAATACTACTTGGGACCAAATTGTCCCACTTTTTAGTTTAAAAAAGTATAAATTTACCTTAAGTATCCTTTTTTTTCTTTAAGTGTATCAGCAGTAAACTTTACACAACTAGTTTACAACTACAAAGTACATAAAGTATATTTCTGAGAAGTTCATAAAAAGTAGACTAAAAGTTTCCTTTCTTATTTTTAGTTTAAAAGACGTATAGCACACTTGAATACACTTCTTTTGTGTAAGGACGTCTCAATCATTATTGTATTGCATTGCATTATATGTTTTTTTCCCCCACAAATAAAAACTTCTGAGTTTTGATTATAAAACATTTAAAGCATTTAAATAAACATCCTACATGACATATTATTGGGAGATATGGACTGACAACTAATATTTATATGCATTTTATGTAAGTAGCCTTTTCTCCTTTTATAAATATCTCATTGATCAGAATTTCATCTTACTTTTTGTCCACATAAATATCAACATCTGCACCAAATTGCATACTTTTGCACATTTTGAAAAAAAAAAAAATGTTTTTCCTCCTTTTGAGGATATCTTGGCATACACATAGATACACTTTCATATGGACTCCAGCTGAAATGCTACTCATTCCTTTTGCTTTGATTCATAGCTCTTGTTTTCTTTTTCACAGCCTACAGAAAATGCTGCTGTTATTTTGGGTCAGACAATAAATGGGCGTCTAGATTTGATTTGTGAGGGTTTGAGATCCAGTGTTCAGTCTGCTGTCCTGAGGCGTGCCTCACACATCAGTGGGTTTGGGGGATTTTCCATAGAAACACAGAAGGGGCTGCCGCTTGCAAAATGTCAAGCACTGTCTGTGATCGCACAATGTAAGTCTCTTAGAAATGCATCATAAAGTTTCCCGGCAATAAATTTAATTTGTTTTGGTGATGTCACAGATTTGTGTTCTAATTCTTATTTCTCTTTTCGTTTTTCTCAAGAAATAATTGCAAAGAATGAAGTAAGTACTGAACTATCAAGCATATTACACCAAAAAAGGTTAACTCTTAAACAATACTGATTGCAAACTACCTGTTTTTTCATATTTCTCCTGCTAGTGTCCACGGCCACCGGTGTGTTTGTGTGCGAGAGGTAAACGCGGTCCTCCAGGAGCTCCTGTGAGTATCGTTGAGATGAAATTGAAGCCATTTTTGTTCATTAGTGTCATTGAGAAAAACTCTACTTTGTTTAGGGTAAAAAAGGAGAGCAAGGTTATGGGGGAGAGTGAAAATAATTGCCAATAATTATGATGATTAGATCTGTAGTTTATGGTTGTTGACTCGTTGGTCTGACTTATTTTACAGGGAGAAACAGGAGCACCTGGTCTTCCA